GATCTCAGTGATAGAAAGTTCTTTTATTAGATCTAGTTTTCTTTTTAAGGCGTCTACTGGTGCTTATTGATCCACCATCCATTGCTTTAAGTTGGGCCATCAAAAATATGTCTTGTTCTAATTTAGTGAGAGCTTGAAAGGATTCCCTTAATTCTGCAAATTGCTCTTTGGGAATTCTTGAAGAGCAACCACATTTACAACCTTTTTCTAAAAAATAAATTGCTTTTCAATATTCATTAGAACCATTGCATTTATTACCCTTGCAAATATTTTTCATATACACTTATCCCTATATATAATTTTATAATTTTTTGTTCACTTTGTCATTTTAATATTACACATAAATATTAAGAAAAAAAAAGACAATCCTTAATGATTTTGCCCATAAATGTTTTTCCATTTGCATTATTATTCTAATAGCTCTTTTTCAATTAAAAAGAAAGAATTAGTAAACATTCACTCACTTAACTCTTTATAAGTATAAGTAACAATAACTTAATCCTTTGCTCTCTTCATCACTGAATATTAAAAAAAAGTGTGCATCTAACAATGATGAATTATTTAACAAACTGATCACATGAAATCATGGTGTGTATTTAGAGAAAATGGTTTTATAGGAGTATGGATGAGAAAAGATCATTCAGTGCAAAGTATGAAGGGTGTACATTTATGGAGGATTCATTGTATGTAAACTAGCTTAGTTTTACAAGCTTTTGAATGAATTTAATTGGGTAGAATTAAGAGTGAACATACAATTTTTTATTTATAAATATTATTTTGAGACTTAATCATACTAAAATGGACAGGTCAACAAATATAATAAATATTTCTATCAAAACTATTTGGATGTTAATATATACACTAATTGTTTGTCTGATTTACAGTTATTCCTTTGTTCTCTCAAACAAAACAATTGTTGATAACAAAAAAAAAATTATTTAGAACCCTAAATTCATTGCTAATAAAGTCATATCCTTTCAACCAAATTTATTTTTAAAAAAGTGATTTCATTCACTATCTATCTTTATAGAAAACCTATATGTATTTTAAAATATTATTCCTTTACTGTTCTTGTTCTAGAAGTCCTTCCTACAGTACATATTGAATATGGCATACAATATCCTGAGTCTCTTCAATTGCGGTATTGCGAGTGTGCAATCCGAGTTTCCTATTTAATAGGTTATTTATAGCTCAACACACAGCCTCCTCGCTGACTTACGGTCAATTTCCACTATTTATATATATATGACACACAGCCTACTCGCTGACTTATGGTCAAAAATTAATAAAATATAACTTTTATCTTTTTAGATAAAAGGGTCC